GAGTAACGGTAGTTCGGAATAGGCACCTAGTCCGAACTACCTAGTTCGAGCCCCGTGTAGCCGCGCTGCACGGGGTTTGAAGCAGCGGGGATTTAGAAATGGAGGCTCCCCGCTTATGCTAATGAAGCCCGGGAAATTCAAATCCCGGGCTTCATTAGCAAGTGGGGTATGTCTACACTACCCCGCTAGTTCGAACTAGCGGGGTAGTGTAGACATACCCCCAGGGACGTGTTGCCCCCGGCCCGGCCTGGCCAGCGGCTTTGCACACCGGCTCTCTGCTCAGGGATTCCCTGCCTGGACGTGGCCTTGGGGCAGCTTCTCCCCAGACCTGACTCTGCAAGGGGCTGTGGGTGTCTCCCTGGGAGCTGCCTGCCCTCGGCCAGACAAACCGCACTCCCTGTGGGGCCAGAAGCTTCCTCCGAAGCCAGGCCGGGCTGCCTGGAGTGAGGCTGCTGCTCTGCCCTGGCTGACCTCCGGCATTCCCGAGTCAGCCCTGCCAGCCCCCCGCGGGCCGGCTCGAGCTGCCACAGGCCGTGTGGAAGCAGCAGTGGTGGGAGCAGGCGGGCTGTAGCCCTGATCCTGCAGGCTGGCCAGGGTGCCGCAGCAGCGGCTAATGCTCAGAGGCTGGGCAGGCTGAGGCCACTGCCCTGGTCCTGTCGCTCCCAGCCATTCCCTGGGCCCGTCCCCACCCAGCCTGGGCGCAGAGTGCCCCGCGTGTTACAGGTCAGACGGCGGGGGGCCCGGTCGGCCCCGCTCTGCCCGGCTCACTGGGCTCCCCTCTGCTCCCCGCAGCCAGCTTCAGGCGGCCAGTCGTGATCCTGGGGCCCATCTCTGACATCGCCATGGAGAAGCTGAGCACCGAGCTGCCTGATCAGTTTGAAATGGCCCGTAAGTGCAGCTGGGAGTGTCTGAGGGGCTGGCCTGGGACTGCAAGGCTCTGCTCCCCTGGCCGGTCCTCGCACGCCCCGGCTGTGCCCTGTGTGCTCCCCTGGCCGGTCCTCGCACGCCCCGGCTGTGCCCTGTGTGCTCCCCTGGCCGGTCCTCGCACGCCCCGGCTGTGCCCTGTGTGCTCCCCTGGCCGGTCCTCGCACGCCCCGGCTGTGCCCTGTGTGCTCCCCTGGCCGGTCCTCGCACGCCCCGGCTGTGCCCTGTGTGCTCCCCTGGCCGGTCCTCGCACGCCCCGGCTGTGCCCTGTGTGCTCCCCTGGCCGGTCCTCGCACGCCCCGGCTGTGCCCTGTGTGCTCCCCTGGCCGGTCCTCGCACGCCCCGGCTGTGCCCTGTGTGCTCCCCTGGCCGGTCCTCGCACGCCCCGGCTGTGCCCTGTGTGCTCCCCTGGCCGGTCCTCGCACGCCCCGGCTGTGCCCTGTGTGCTCCCCTGGCCGGTCCTCGCACGCCCCGGCTGTGCCCTGTGTGCTCCCCTGGCCGGTCCTCGCACGCCCCGGCTGTGCCCTGTGTGCTCCCCTGGCCGGTCCTCGCACGCCCCGGCTGTGCCCTGTGTGCTCCCCTGGCCGGTCCTCGCACGCCCCGGCTGTGCCCTGTGTGCTCCCCTGGCCGGTCCTCGCACGCCCCGGCTGTGCCCTGTGTGCTCCCCTGGCCGGTCCTCGCACGCCCCGGCTGTGCCCTGTGTGCTCCCCTGGCCGGTCCTCGCACGCCCCGGCTGTGCCCTGTGTGCTCCCCTGGCCGGTCCTCGCACGCCCCGGCTGTGCCCTGTGTGCTCCCCTGGCCGGTCCTCGCACGCCCCGGCTGTGCCCTGTGTGCTCCCCTGGCCGGTCCTCGCACGCCCCGGCTGTGCCCTGTGTGCTCCCCTGGCCGGTCCTCGCACGCCCCGGCTGTGCCCTGTGTGCTCCCCTGGCCGGTCCTCGCACGCCCCGGCTGTGCCCTGTGTGCTCCCCTGGCCGGTCCTCGCACGCCCCGGCTGTGCCCTGTGTGCTCCCCTGGCCGGTCCTCGCACGCCCCGGCTGTGCCCTGTGTGCTCCCCTGGCCGGTCCTCGCACGCCCCGGCTGTGCCCTGTGCCGCTCCCTCCAGTCCTTGCGCACGCACACTGCCCCTCACCCAGCACAGCTGTGTCCTGGGGCCCGCTGGGCTCTCCTCTGCCCTGCAGCAGCCGTGCTAGTTCTCACCACACACACAGCTGGGCTGAGGGCTCGGGAGCTCTCCTGACAGCCCAGCTGGGCCAGGAACACTCAGGGAGCATCAGTGGCTTGTGCCACGTTGTGCTTGTTCCCCAGAGAGCGTGCCCCGTGACGGGGGGTCGGCCAAGGTCATTAAACTGGACTCGGTGCGGCAGATCGCTGAGAAGGTGAGTCCCTGCCCCCCCCTTCCCCTCCCCCACACCAAGCCTCTTCTGGCCAGGCCTCAGAGCCCTGCGCTCCTGGGCCTTGCCTGAGTGCGGAGCTAGGAACTAACACCGGTGCCTGGGCTCCTGGGTCGGGCACAGCCCTCAAGGGGCTTTCCGCATCTGCCTGCTGCTCCGGAAGTGGGAGTGGGCGAGGCGGCCAGCGGGGTCCCCTGGGGGGGTCCAGCGAGCCATATTCCAGTGGACAGCCCAGCTCCTCTTGGAGGGGACCATGGTGCAGGTTTCCCTTCCTGCCCCCAGGACCCCCCCTGCCCTCTCCTGCCCACAGGGCAAGCATGCGCTGCTGGACATCACGCCGGCGGCGGTGGAGCGGCTCAACTACGTGCAGTACTACCCGGTGGTGGTGTTCTGCGAGCCCGACAGCAGGCAGGCGCCCCCAACTCCAAGAAGAGCTCCCGGCGCCTCTATGCGCAGGCCCTCAAGATGAAGAAGAATTACAGCTACCTCTTCACAGCCAGCATCAGCCTCAGCGACAGCACCAACACCTGGTACCAGAGCCTCAAGGAGATCATCCGGACCCAGCAGGCCCGGCCCATCTGGACTGCGGAGGAGCAGGTAGCCACGGGGACCCTCTCACTCCTCCAGGTGCCCCTTTAGCCCACCTGCCGAAACGTGGCACCCCCTGGGCATGGCTCTGTGCCTGCTGGCCCGTAGCCCTGCCATCCTGCAGTCCCAGGGTGCTGGGAGAGGGTGGGGCACGGCTCGGCTCTGCTCCCCTGGGCTCCTGGGGAAGGGGCAATGCCTCAAAACTGCAGGGGGGGAGCTCCCCTAGCTCCCTGCTGCTCTGAAGGGCTGGGGGAGATGGCGACCCTTTGCCAGTGCTGAGGGGCCATTGGAAACTCCCAACTTGGGCAGCATCTCGGGTCACAGCGGGTCCGACGGGGCCTCTCGCCAGGTGACCCCCATCTCTCTCCCTGCAGGTGG